CAATATCTTCAATCTCTGGATAAAACGTCTCCTTGTGTATCAGATGTGCACACCAATCATAAATTGTCAAAAATAAAAAAAATCTCACAAAGATTATGCTTTTTCTTGCACTAAATCTTCTTGTATATTTTGTTCAAGTGCGAATCACAAGCTCAATGGCTGTGAACGGTTTAAAAGTTTATCAACTGCACAACGTTTTGACACTGTAAAGCGATTCACACTGTGCATCAATTGTTTATCAAAAGGACATCAACGTTCTAACTGCCCATCAACTTATAGATGTAAGATTTGTTCAGATCAACATCACACCTTGTTACATCGTAGCAACACCATCAATGCTACAACACCTTTCAACTCAGTTCATCCTACTCCACAGTCATCAATGGTGTCAGCTGTAGCTACTACTTCTAGAGATACTGTGACACATACACATTTAGAGAAGTCATCGACAAGTAATGTCATCTTAGCTACAGCGCTAGTTCTAATACAGGATGCATCTGGATGCTATCAATTGGGTAGGGCGTTACTAGATTCGTGTTCACAGGTGAACTTCATCACTAATGATTTCGCTCAAAAACTTCGCATACCCATGGCCAAGCATAATATTGAAATTAACAGCATCGGAAATTCATCGACAAGAATCACATCAAAGGTATCAACTACTATCAAATCTCGATTCACGGCTTTTCAACTTCCATTGACATTCTGTATAACATCACATATTGCGTATCAACCAGATTCTGAAATAAACATCTCAACTTGGAACGTACCACCAAATATTAACCTTGCTGACGAACAATTTTACAAATCAACCCGTATTGATTTACTGCTTGGCACTGAAAGCTTTTTTAGTGTCCTGTCAGTAGGCCAGATTAAACTTGGATTAGGATTACCAACGTTACAGAAAACTATTTTGGGCTGGATTGTTTCAGGTAGATATGATGTTTCACAATGCGTTAATGTCTCCTTTCATCAATTGACTCTGTCGAGGAAAAGTTAGAACGTTTATGGAAGCTAGAAGAAGTCTCGATCACTCCACATGCTTGGACTAGTGAACAACAAGTTTGTGATCATTTGTTTTCAGAAACAGTATGCAGAACAGATGCAGGTAGAGTTATGGTAAGGTTGCCATTTAAGGATAGTCCTCAGTGTTTAGGCAGTTCATACGGTACAGCGTTGCGTAGATTTATTGCACAAGAAAATCGATTGTCACGGTCGCCTGAGCTCAAAACGCAATATGTTGCCTTTATGGAAGAATATCAAAACCTTGGTCACATGATTGAGGTAAAAGATCCAAATATTGATGAACCTCATTATTACATTCCGCATCATTGCGTATTGAAGCCAACCAGCACCTCGACGAAATTAAGAGTCGTATTCGACGCATCATGTCGAACCTCTTCTCAGAAATCTCTCAATGATATTTTGATGATTGGACCTACTCTGCAAACTGAATTGTTCATCCTCTTGTTACGTTTTCGCTTATTTCGATTCGCTCTTACTGCTGACATAGTGAAGATGTATAAACAAATTCTGATTGATCCTGAAGATAGAAAATTTCAGTACATTCTTTGGAGAAGTTCACCATCTACCAATATTCGTACTTTCCAGCTCAACACAGTTACATATGGAACAGCTGCTGCACCGTACCTTGCCATTCGTTGCCTATTGTATATAGCGCATCAATATGTGGATCAATTCAAGATTGCAGCTGAAGTAATCAAATCTTCGTTTTATGTTGATGACTTATTGCATGGTGCAGATTCTCTTTCTGAGTTACATCAAATAAGATACGAATTGGAAGAGCTTCTAAAACAGGGAGGTTTCGAATTAGCTAAATGGCACTCAAATCATCAAGCTTTTAGAGATGACACTACTATCAAAGATCTCAATATAGGTTCGGATGTTATTACCAGCACATTGGGACTGAAATAGGATCAAGATAATGATGTATTTATTATTTCATTTAATGTTAAACCAAACTCTATCAGCCGCATCA